ACTTCTCCACCCCCTCCTACTACCGTGGGTTTAATTTCAAGTTTATTTGTCATCAACATTTTGTTATCAAATTTTTTTTGCAATTTTTTCGTATAACAATTTTTAGTAACTAACCCATTCCATCTTTTCACCTATTATCTAGTTTATTTTCATAATTGTCTCCAAACTCCTTCACTAGCATCTAATCTTTCTAAACATGTCTATATTACGTAAACCTACTCACATCTTACCAATCTTCACCCCACTTAGTTACAACTCTGATTATTAATCACACATTTTAACTTCTTCATTATTTTGATGATGTAACTCTACTCACATCTTACCAATCTTCACCCAACTTAGTTACAACTTTGATTATTAATCACACATGTTAACTTCTTCATTATTTTGATGATATAATCAACAACCCACACTAACTGTTATTTTGACTTTGACAAACCTAGTGTACACACACACACAAAATAATTGTATATATATTTGCGACTGTACAGCTAAGTGAATGAATTCGCCGAAAAGAGACTCTTCGCTGAACAACTTTGTTCTTATTTCAAAATTAATGTCATTTGAAGATGGTAAGTCATGTAGAAAGAAGGAAAAGAGAAGTGGGGAGAGTACAGCGCCTTGGGGGACTCCGGCTTCAGTGAGTACAGCAGTCCCTATCTGAAATCAGGCAGGTGGAGGTCAACCACAATACCGAAATAACTGCTTCCATATAAGAAACCTACGTGTGATATGACTAGTTCTCTCAACAATACGTATTTCTGTGTCTTGCACAAATGCATGCGACATTTCTTTCTCAATCAAAGCGTCGGTTCTAATCCAGTTTGTGTGAGTGTGCGTGTTCTGAATGCAAAGCATGTGATAGCTATCGAGAATATTAATCTGACGCGTGCTCAAGTTGATAGTTGAGTCTGAAAGGCCTTATTCATCAAATCATCTGTCATATTGCATGAAACATCCAACTCATAAATCCGTGATTGACAGATTCACTCAATCCACGCTAGAGCATGTTGAATCACGCAGATGACCTGACTAATGCGTCACTCGTGATTTTTGTCTATTTTCATCGTCTTCTCTGGCTGTATATAAGCACCTCCTCCTTCTTACATATCTTAATCAAGTCGCATCGAAACCATCAACAAGCAGACAGACGAGATGATGCACTGTGTTCTCTCTGTTCTCCTTGCTGTATTGTGTGCAGTGTACATGGCGACGGGTAAGTCAGTCAGTGAGTTGGTCGGTGAGTCAATCACTCATCACCTCATTCGAATTCCAGTTCATCCATTTGCATAATCACACAAATTTTCATCACGGAAATCGTCATGTCCATCTTCACCTACACCGTCCTCCTCATCGCTGAAACCATACCACTCAGCCAACATTATCTGAATCCGCACCAGCGATGGTGAATTTTCAACGCACACATAACTATCAGCATTGCAAGCACAATCAGTATCTGCTTCAGATCATCAACGATCGCATTGCTGTGGCCATTACAGACGCAGATCCACACACACACACACATTCATTCATATCGACAGATTCTCAACGACACCCAGTCATGCACTCATTCATCCAGCCTGCAATCCATCTCTGCATACATCCGTCTCGTGAATGATGCTCGTTGACAGATTTCACTTCCACCAACTTCCAACTTTATTTCAGTCGACGGTCAATCGCTCAATTATATCACTCCTTGTTGATCAAATTTTACCTCTTCGTAGCCGAGTGGGACAAAGATTTTTGACTCCTTTAGATGAAACATGCATCCAACGACCTATATATCTCGCTCCAAATGACCAGGTAAATTGGTAGATACACATAGATGTGGTCAAATGCGATAGTTTATCTCTGCAGTTACTGAGGAACACTGGTTGGCTTGAGAATACCAGTTGTGACGTGGCAGCAGTGAGTGATGTTTCTTTGAAGTCAGATTTTCTCCTCTTTTAGTTGTCGGCCAGAAGGTCGCATGGAGCGCCACTTTCATGTATAGCACTTTTTCCGAAACAAAGATGAGTTATTCGTTTTCGGATTTCGGCTTAATAGTTTATCTTTAAAGCTTTGCGTAGTGGATAGCTATTCTCAAGTAGTAACTCGTAGTATAAGACATAGGTGACCACTGTTGTTTGTATAAGCGAAGACGCAAGAAAAGCTAGTGACTTTACAGAGTCTTTTATTACTTCCCCAATTTAGTAGGTTCGCTGCATAGGAAGCCTGTTGCTTGGTTACAAATCAGTGTTTAAATGAGTTTGGTGAATGCGATTAATTTGTCTGACTAATTGTGAACTTCTTGAAACACTCAGTAGTACGTACATGGAAGGTGTACAAAATTTGAAGTCAGTTTGATATTAACGGAGAGACCACGAAGACATTTAGGCTGAAGTTCAATCAAATAAAACTGTGGGGGAAGAAGGCAGTAAATTTCAAACAACACAGATTGGAGTGAGTTTTACAGTAACCAAATAGTCTGAAACATTACAGTGAGAAATAACCCATGGTGTTTCAGGAGAACAATTCAAATATGGATGTCTAGACTGGCCGAAATTCACTCTACAGGTCACTCAGTAGGCACGGAGGATTCATTCAAAGTCATCTACAAAGACAAAAGAGGCCCCCCGAAAATCGTAGGCTTCCGTATACTTTGCATTGCTGAGACCCTAGCGACACGAATAGAAAACCCTGATATATGTACACAGAAGAAACTTCTCCACCCTCTCCTTCTACCTTGAGTATTATTATTCCAAGTTCCACTACTTTGTTAATAAAGCAATTTCGAGTGTTTGTATGACAGCTTAGCGAAACCTTCTTCTTAACCAACCCTTTATATGCTGTTCCCACAGTTTATATGACTTCTTTTGGACACGTGTCTCCTTGCTCTTTCATCAACATTCTATCTCGTATTACTCAACCCCTGTCAATACAATTCGATTGTTCATCACAGTTTAGACAAATTTTGATGACGTAAACAATAACCCTCAATAATTTTTTATTATTGTTTGACAATTCCAATGTACATGCATACAGACACATACACAAAGTAATTATATACGCAATGTGATTGGACAGCTTAGTGAATGAATTCGCCACCGAGAAGAGACATTTCACTGAACATTTTATTCTTAAATCTGGAATTAATAAAAGACTTTGTGAAGTCATTGACGTTTATCGCGACTTTGCTAATACAGACGATAGTGGTCACCTGTGTCTTATTCAAGTGGTTACTTCGTTCCACTACCATCCGATATCAGCAAAATACAGAGACTCTATCACATACAATCACAAAGTGTTGGTATCATCGACACGAATATGAGTGTGTTATTCAGGCCTCTAACAGTAGGATGTGACTATTATTACTGTGATGTTCCTAAAATGAACCTTTTGCTCACGAGAGAATATGATAATTGCTACTCGCACAACTGTCCACATTCTGTAGTCTGTTTATTCTGTGGTGGGCCTCTGAATGATTTCTTAGTGTGCATGACTGTAGGAACATGCCAGTCATCTTAAATTCCAGTATCACAAGTTACGTTTTGTTACCATAATGCAAGCTGTCACCAGTACTGAGATTTCGAACTCTCCTGCTATTCAACAGCAAACTAAGTTACACAATCGAGTTTATCTGGTTCGATCGAGCACTTCGGTTGAATCAATCAACGAGAAAGTCGAAATTGAATTAGTGATAATAGGTGATGGCCGTTGCAGAAGAGGTGACTCTCGTGGCTCAATTGGTGCAGTGGATAATGCTTGGTGCATCTTGAACTTATCTCATTAGACGTTGTGTTTCAAATACTTCATTTCAACCGGATTTAATACTTGGATGACTTGTTCAACGCGCACTTTTATCAAACACACAATCTACATGTTTCAACCATCAGTTTACTAACCAAGTCACCTAAAATACAGGTTAATCTAGACTCTTCCAAAACAAGTGTATTTCTATCATTTTCGACTAGGCAGGAAGAAATTCATGAGTTCACAGTACCACCATCATATCATAATTACTCATTCTTGCATCCCTGTTAGAACGGAGCGCTTCAGTGACACATCTTAGTTCCACTGGGTACATGTGGTCACTTCCAGCTGCCTCCATCACTGTCCACAAAATGTCTAATTTATCTTCAAATCATCTCAGTGTCGATCTCAGAAAGAAAACAATCTCAATCAATCTGAATCAAGTTCCACTCGAAGACCTGACGTGGAGTGTAACTAAATGATTTTCTTAGTACATACTCAATCCATCCATCTGTATTTTCCTCTGCATTTCTGTTGAGAAACAGTTCCTTGACTGATGACTCGAAGTCAGACTTCCTCGGATTTCACTCTCTCTGGTCGACTATGTGATATTCGGGAATAGAGAGAAAGTAGCTGTGAATGACAGTTTGCAGTGATCTGTTTTGAAACAATTGTGGTGATACGCTCATCAAGTCTATGAAATATGTAGAAACACAGAGCCTATTGAAATGAGTATTGAAAATGAGTGTGTACTACTGATTACCGAGAATCTCCATATTAATTTCAGGGTAATGGACACAGTTCCGAATCTCTCGATCCTGTCAATAATATTTCTATCATTGCTTCTTATTCCCTACTGTTATTCTAATACAGCTAGCAATTATCAGGAGGTCAGGCGACATTATAAACCAGCCAAGATATTAGGATTTTCAGCTGACATTAAATTCGATTTACGGTTGATATTTTTCACCCTACTTTGCTCCCATTACTGTGTATACGGTCTCACTGTGTCAAGAAGAATCATCAAAATCATTGAAAACCATTATGTCAAGAAACAATGTGATAAGTTTGTTTTACATTAATAATAACGATTCTACAGAAGGAAAACTAGTAGTCAGTACAATGAAATAACAAGGTTAAGATGTTAAAGAAAACAAAGATGTGCTTTATCCAAAGCTAATCAAGTGTCAATCAAAATATTACAAAATAAAATACATAAGTCATCAACCATTATTATTATTATGGGACACAATTGGAAACACCACATATTATCTAGACGATAGCCACCGTCGAACAAAGTAGATTATGGCACCGATGATTGCAAGTCCTGCGAGACAGCCGAATACAATTCCCACAATTGCTCCTGCTCCTAAACCTGTCATGAATATGACAACAACACAATGTAGTGTGATTAACGAAAACTAAGCACGTAGGATATTTGAAATACAAATAGAAATCTGATGAAACAAACGTATTCTCACGGTAGTCTTGATGATTAGTCGAAGAGATGACTTTAAGTCTTGTGCATTTTGTCAGGATGTCACAAATATCTATCTCCTGACTCTATCCTTAAAACTCGAAAATCGCCAATCGGAGAGAAATTTGCCAGCTAGTTAGATCTTCTTTCTACACGCACATTTGCTGTGTCTAACTGGCGATTTCACCTCTTTCATCTTGAGTTGCCTGTTTACCAATATTCGATGTCAAATATTCCTCATGCACCCATGAACAGGATACGTGGTATCCTTCGCTTATTTAGACATGAGGAAACAACATCACAGTCTCTATGTCAGAATAATAAAGATCATGTTGGCATTAGGACGTAAGCAAATCACACTGCGTCACTCTCTGTAATAAGCATGTGCCTGTGTGTGTGTGAGTTTGTAGTCATCTTCACTGTTTAGAATAATTCATAAGAGAGTCGTCATCTCGGAAAAGAACTTGAGGAAAAAACTAGAGTGCTCATGAGTGGAACCTGAATGATAGGTGATGAGGTGTCTGTGCTGTCAGTATGAGATGGAAGAGAAAATCAAAGTGATGATCGTGCAGTCGATTGAGAGTGACTTCAGAGAATCGAGTGAAATCGAGGTGTGCTCCTGAATCTCTACGCTTCAGTCGAAAACCAGTCAATGAACAATAGCAATAATAATAATAATAATAATTTCATGCTGAAATAAATGGAAAATGTGATGTGAATTTATCTACCTAACTGAATTGTAGTCAAGATGAGTTGAATTCAGCCTTCGTAATATAAGATAACGACAAAGTAATTAAGTCAATAACACTGTGCATAAATACCAATCAATAAAAACACCGACTCACCGGCTTGTTCTTTTCTTATATTATCAACAATACCATCAAACTTTTTTCTCAAATCCTGACCAACCTGATCAATGTCCTTGTTTTCATTGCTTTGTGATGTGACTAGTATCAACTGCAGTATACAAATAAACACTACAGAGAACTTCATTGTATTTTTGTTTGAGGTTTGATATTGTCTGAAAAGTCGTATGGAAATAAACTGTTCAGTTAATCAAAAATTGTGCAATGACTGTGTGATCCAGATCACAGAATATTCTTAGCAAACATGCGATAAATAATGAGGAAACGGTGTATTGCCTCAAACATGAAATAACAAGTCCTAATAATATGAGGTAATATTACTGTCCGTATTGCACTTATCGATCACCGTGTTGCTTGTTCGGAGTATCCCTTTTGTCATCACAATTATAGTGGAGACAGAGGTGTCTATTCAACACTAAATCTTCATCCCTTGCATAAACTACTGTCAGTATCAAAATTGTAGGTCGGTTCTATCGGTGTTAGAGTGCTCATCAACCACAGATTTGGGTTGAGTTTGATTCCTGTCTCAATGCTGTCTTAAGACTCACACACTACCAGTAGTCAGCTCACCTTCGTTAAGAAAACACGACTACACTGAAACGTGAAACACAATAAAGCACTTTACATTTTTCAAGTTATCATTATTATCATTACTATTAATAAATTATTGTGTTGGACTTACTTCTCAATACTTCCAAGCCGAGAACTCAAGACCTGAAGTAATTTATAGCAGAATATCTTGTCCGTGATGAATATACAATGCTCACCTATAGATTTATATACATAAATATCTTTATGTATAATTATTATTGTTATTACTGGACAATGTGCTTTCTGTTTACTCAACTCTCACTGGCATCCAGTAGCAAATACCATACACGATGTGACCTTCATTTACGTGGTACTCAACAACGTCAACAAAGTTGTCTACCTACATACAAAATATTCACATTCATTTGTTACTGAGAATTATTAATATTAAGGCCACTAATTAATTAATTAGTTAATAATAATAATAGTAAGAATAGGTGATTAAGCAGTAGAATAGAAGTGGTACAGGATACCACTAAGCCTCTGTATGCACACATTGAAATAATCACAGGAGTATTACAAAGTTAGGAGGGCAAGTTGTGTATTGATGTGCAGTGCAAAATTGACAATTAATGGTAAGTGAGATCAGAAATACAAATAGTCAGATCAACATTGTGGATAAAGACTGAATAGTGCTTGCTCCATGTGTGTCTTAGATTTGTACGTGTTGTTGGTGAAATATGCCTGTCTCTTCTCTCAATAACACGGTTTACCGAAAAGGCAGAAATCCAAGTTGACTCTCAGTTCCACACCAGACATCTATATCAGTTTACTGGGAGACTGAAAGGTGGCTGATATGGCTGGTTAAATCCCTCTGTGATCAGATAGTAAAGCACACTGTCAATTTATTGTTAAGATCAAAAGTAATTTGAACTCAACAGATAGATATGTCTTCCAGTGATGCTTCCTCCTTATTCATCACTAACGTGTTTCTGGTAGACACCTTCGACTATATCTGAGAACAGATTATAGAAAGAACATTGTGTACTGATATTCCTATTATCAATGTGAAGTAACTGTTGCTTAAATGTACAGTTATTTTCCAATACTTCCCTAGTAATGAAATATACAAACAGGTTGATTGAGTGGCCTTGTGATTCCCACTATTTCGTATGCTTAGTGACAATTTTCTAACAAAACTATAAGACCTTTAGTTGTAACGATGAACTAACTGACAAAGGAGTGTGCTATTCTTACGTAGATGGAATTTTGTAGTATACGATGTAGGTCTATCCAGTGATCTGATTTTGAGCCACATGGATGATATACACCCAGGTGTGCCCTTCAGCTGTGATAGAAGAATACAATGAGTCTGTGCTCTTTCTCGATGTCTCACTAACGAGAAGAAAGGAAGGCTCCATTGAAAGAATTAAATTTATATTGTTAAAGACTGCATCTCAATACATACACTTACTCGGTTTCGCGCTTTTGGAAGTCAAAAGTAGTTTGATTAGAAGCTCAGCATTTATAACGAGATATACCAAACAAGCATGATGGAAAAGCAAACGGAGAGAAAGACATGCAAATAAGATGAGCAAAGAAGGAAAGCGTAGAATTTATGCCTAAGAGGATATGCGAATATTCATTAAATTTCTCACTTATTTAGCTACCAATCCTATTATGCATTGCCAAATACCAACAACTATGGTAGTGACAACTCATCACTTCTATTAACACCCTCTTTCATGAGATAAACATTGTGTATCAGTGCGATAGTACAGCCTAATGAACGAATTCACCGAAGCGAGTCTCTTCACTCAACTACCTGTCTTCTATTCGTTAATGTCTGGATGGGGATGACGTATGAAATGAAATTTGACTGACACAATGGTGTATGCGTCATCGAGCATAGCATACAACTATTTCCTCTCTGTTATGCATACACGTTTCGGAATTTGATAAAGCATTTCCTATAAAACCAAATAGAGCAAGCATATATATGTATATGTATCAATGAGTGCAGAGATATTGAACAAAGCATTGAGAAGACAAATATCACAAAATGATATCATCATTTCGTAGTTTCTTCGCCATCGCTTCACAACTAGAAGGGTTCACGTGAATGAAATGAGATCTACGAGATTTAGTGATTTACAACAGAACTACATACTAATAAGCAGAGGAATTTTAGTAGGTCATGTAGTCCATAATAAGTACATTTTGCATTCCGTTGTTTTCTGCACACACCGTTTCAAGTGTATGTAATTAATCTATAAAAGAATTCCATCAATTTTAAGAACCTTGAGTTGGATAGAGTTACGTGAAATAAGTGATAAACATTTATTAATGAAACAAAAGATATTTCAGCAGTGAAGATAAGGATGCATTGAAACCTGCTGTTAAGAAATGGCTTCCTGAATTGGTGATTCCTAATTGCATATAGACATCGGATAGCATGAATCGAATTCCTAACAGCCATGACGCATGAGTTTATTTTCGTTCAACGAACACCTTACTGTCATTACTAGTGAGAGGTCTTAGGAACTAATTTCAGGACCTGCTTATGCCCTCTTACTCTCAGTTTTAGCTGTCTGCATGTTTCTTCGACATATACGCCATCGCAATCGACACAATTTATATGGCACAGGCACTTTTGTTGTCTGTCTTATTGCACCTTATCCTCAACTTTCACTGATCACCCTTTATCAGTTGGCACTGTGGGCAAGCGAGTTCTTAGTTTGCAATGTCACTTCTCATATTTGGCCAGTACGCACATTGGCTCACTAGATATTATGTCCGTACAACGCCTGTTTGGGCTAGTTGGTGTCATTCTTGAATCACCTCACAACGGAGGCTCTTGGCGTCACCATCACCCATCTACCATCATTGTCTTGCCAAGTTAAGACGCCGAAGGCGTTTAGTTTGAATCAATGTTTGTGATGCAGTTGTGTCTTTAACTGTGTATTCTCCGGTGATGTATAGATTTCTTTGCCTTCACTTATCATCTGGATGACTGTCTTGAGAAAAGGATCTGACTTCCGGTGGCGAACAAGTTGTGAGGGATCTTGCTCCAAAGCTTTCGCTGCATATTCTGCCTCATTATCTGATCTCGACAAGTAGTCGGCTATTATATTTTCTTCTCCTGGAATATGTCCAGTCGTGAAAGCATAATCTTTTAGGCGCATTATCCATCGTGACAACTCCCCTCCTAGGTCCCTTGTTGTTTTCAACCTTTGAAGGTGTCTACACACAGCTAGCATACTCAACAACTCTGTCCGTTGTTTCCATAATCACTCGCATCTGTTGAAACTGTGAACTGCCTCCCAGGCACAATGAATAACAGGAGTTGAGTACTTTTGAGATTGATGGCTAAATAAGTGAGAAATTTAAGAAATATTCTTTGTGCTAAATATGGCGCTGAAGATGTTGTCCGGAAGGACGACGAAAGCTTCGCGACTAAACCAACCAGCTCAGAGAACACTTTTAATTGCATATTCGCATATACTTTCTGGCATAACTTCTACGCCTTCATTCATTGCTCATCTTATTTGTGTGTCTTCTTCTCCGTTTGCTTTTCCATCGTGCTTGTTTGGTATATCTCGTTACTTCCTAACTTGAACACAATCATGCACTACAAATATCAAGATCAGATAAATCTATTGTTATAACTAAAGCTGACAAAGGCAATATCACTGTGATTTCTAATAAACATGACTATGATAAGAAAGCTACCGAACATATCAAAGCAGTTCCATACGCATTAGTACCGATAAACAAAATGTCTAGTACTATGAACAAAGTAAAAGCCAAAGTATACAATCTTCTTAGAGAATTGAAACCAGAAATAGGGAATTCAGTCTGGTTTTCAATAGCTCCCAAAATCAACACGGCCGCGAGATTTTATGGAAGGCCGAAAATACATAAAATAAATGTTCCTTTAGGACCAATAATTGATTTTACCGATTCAGTGACATATGCTTTATCAAAATACATATCACGAATACTGAAAGCACTTCAATACAATATTCCTTCGAACATTAAAAATATTGAGGAGTTTAAAGGGAAACTAGTGGACATAATTATTGAAGAAGACGAAATTATGGCAAGTTTTGATGTGCTTTCTCTATTTACTAGTATTCCTATTTGTGATTCACTCGATATTATGAAATATGAACTTGAAAACAATCAGGAAGTATTAACTAAATCTTTATTATCAATAGATGAAGTTATAAAATGCTTAGAAATTTGCTTGGAATCTACATATTTGACCTTTAAAGACAAACTTTGCTGTCAAACAAATGGAGTTGCAATGTGTTCACCAGCATCTCCAATTGTAGCAAACCTATATATAAAAGCCCTAGAAAAGAAGGCATTGACAAGTTTTAGTTGTCATCCTAGAATATGGTACAGACATGAAGATGACACATTTATGATCATAAAGAAAGCTGAAAAAGAAAACTTTCTAACAGAGATTAACTTAGTCTCAGAGTATAGAGAGTTTATTAATAAAGTAGAATCAGCCGAGGGAACTCTAAACTTTCTTCATTGTCTTGTAAAATGACAAACTGACGAGAAACTGAAGTTTAACATATACAGAATACCAACACGTTTCCAATCAGATCATCCAACAGGAATGAAAGTTTCAGTAGCTTTAAATCTCGTCAACAGAGCTAGAAACATTATAACAGATAATGATGGTGATATGGAGAACGAGATATCCAATATCAAACAGATTTTGATGGGAAATGGTTATTCGGGAAAGCTACTAGATAATATCATCAAATAAAAAGGAAAAAATAAGGGAAAACAAAAAATTGAAAAATCTTGGCTACCGACGATAGCCATTCCATATCGAAAGGACACAGCTGAACAACTTCAAAGACTATTTGCTTCATATGATATTAAAGTCTGTGTCAAGCCCTCTAACTCTCTGCAGGAAGCGTTGGTGCATGCTTATAGGATACAGCTTTCAGAATGTGAAGCATGCTTTATAGGGGAGATCAGTAGACAGGTGAAGGTCAGAGTGAATGAACATAGACTATGCACGAGACATCCACCTAGAAATGAAGTTGAATTAAAAAGTCTAGTGAAAAGATCAGCTATAGCAATGCATGCGATAGACAGTGGACGTAGGACTGATTTCGACAATGTCGAAATTCTTGGAAGAGGATTTCATTCACATAAAGAAAGGTTGACCTCTGAAGACTTGCAGATTTTAACCACATCGAATGCAGTGAATAGGAAAGAAGGGATAGACTTATCACCTCTGTATGGCAAACTCTTATGAAGCAAGACAGATGAAAAAACAATAAACACTCTATGAGCCTCCATGACCTTATAAAACATGTAGTATCATGTTTATCACATGTGAATTCACGTAATTTTCACACGACAAATAACATACACACACACTCAAACAAAACTAATCTATACAAATTAGCTATAGAAGAGTGAACACAACAACAACTTGACATTAGTCATTACAAATATATGATGATTGCTTACATATTTCTGTTGCTAAAAGTGTCCATGGACAAATGACCTTCAAATAAACTGACTTCAATTTGTGTACAAATTCTTGACTATATATTTTGATGATTAATACAAAATCCGAATAAATCTGCTGAAGAAGCTGTGGCTTACACAGCGAAACGATCAGAAAAATCCTGTTTTGATTTTCTGAAACACGCTGGGATTAATTTATAATAATAATTTGTAATGAATCAATCTGACTCGACGCTCAAATTATTCCAGGAAGTTGGTTACACCTACGGTCTGGAAACTTACAACTTAAATGATGTTTACACTTTTGAGAAAATAAACAAATAAAAACAAAAATTGCGAGGATTATAAACATAAGAAGTACAATAATGACTGATGTTGTAAGGGTGGAGAAAGTGGTCTGTTTAGTAGTGCGAAGAAGGTTAGTTAGTTCATGCCTGACACTATTTTAATCACATAAAATACGTGCCAAATATGGTATAGTGGAATATTCATACTTAGACGTACGTGCATAAAGTCTTCGAAAAAGACTTCTTGTTTTATCTGAGGAGACACAAGACTGTGGATGCTCACAGTTTGACAAAATTCCTGTAGCGAATTTGTTGCATGAGAGCAATTGCCTGTCAATGACGATGTCAACGAAATGGCCCAATGGGTTACCACCACTCGCCCTACTGACAGTCTTCAGAGTTCTGCGAAGTATGATGTAGTCTTTCTTAAGCAATCCAGGAAAGAATAAGGGTGAACAGTGAAGAAGAATAGGTAAGCTGTACGATTCGACAAACTGTATGACGAGGAGGCGTTGAGTTATGCCTGAGTGCCTCAACTGCTTAATGTAAAAGTCAGACGAAATATTCTTTTAGAAATCGCTAAGACATGGGAAGACCAGGATAGGTCAGAAGACAGAATTAATTCAAGATACTCAACTTCAGACTTGATTTCTATATCACTATCATCAATTTTGCAACAATCATAGGAACTAACGGCTTCATTTAACTTCCTTTTACATCGGAAACTGAAATTGACTGTCTAACATTTGGAAGGATTTAGTTTAAGGCCATTAGACGAAGGGTGTTTGCTGAGTGCTGGTGGAAAGCTGTTCATCTCAGCACAGACTCCCTGGGAGTTAACAGCCATTGAAGTAGTTAGATCGTCGGCATACTGAACAAAGTTCATTTCTTCAGAGTGAGACAAGTCATGCAAGAAGAAAGAAAACAGAGAAGGAGAAATGATAGAGCCTTGAGGGACACCAGCCTCAGTAAGCAATGAAGTGGACGACGTCCCCTATTAATGTGGTCTGGATGACCGCTTCGCGTCTCACTATACATAACTAGGTCGTCTCCACATACTTCTACGTCCTTCAGACCCTTCAGTAAAAAGTGTTGCGGACAAAACGGCTAAGCTCGTTTATACGCGAATAAAAAGGACAAAATAAATACAAACATGCATGTATATAGAGAGGAATTCAGTCGACCCAAATTAATTTTTTATAA